CCTCCTCAGGGGCAGGAGCAGCCCTACGGTGGCGGCTCGGGGGGGTGCAGGGCCCATGCCCCCTCAGGGGCAGGAGCAGCACTACGGTGGCGGCTGGGGGGGTGCAGGGCCCATGCCTCCGCAGGGGCAGGAGCAGCAGGGGGCGGATGGTGCTGCCCCAACTCTCCCCCGGGGTCAGCAGGAGTAACCTACTGTTAAAAGTAGTCTTTGGAAGTGTCTTTTGAGTCTGAAGCTGGAGACACAGGTAGCAGGTAGCTGTATTAGGAAAGTAAAGTAGAACGTAGAAAACTACAATGCAGAAAACAAGACAATCTATATAACTTATGTATACTGAAACTCAGGGAAAGATGTATATATAAACTTGTGTTAAAAGTAGTCTTTGGAAGTAAAGTAGAACGTAGAAAACTACAATGCAGAAAACAAGACAATCTATATAACTTATGTATACTGAAACTCAGGGAAAGATGTATATATAAACTTGTGTTAAAAGTAGTCTTTGGAAGTAAAGTAGAACGTAGAAAACTACAATGCAGAAAACAAGAAATCTATATAACTTATGTATACTGAAACTCAGGGAAAGATGTATATATAAACTTGTGTTAAAAGTAGTCTTTGGCAGTAAAGTAGAACGTAGAAAACTACAATGCAGAAAACAAGACAATCTATATAACTTACGTATACTGAAACTCAGGGAAACATGTATATATAAACTTGTGGTAGTCATGTACAAAACTATGTTGCATCTCAGGGAAAGAAAAATACAATATTTGTTGCAATAAACTTGTTATCACTCCACCATTGATGTGATGTTTGTTGACAATAGACAAGCATAAAAACCAAACATTATACACAAATGCTATACAGCTAGAGACAATCGATAACTTGGGTTCCACCACTACCTATACACATGGACAGAAAAACATGTTCCAACAAACTTCTTGTCTCTTCAAATGATGTGTATAGAGAACACAACATCATACACAAATGCTATCGACAATCTATAACTAGTGTTCTATGACTACCTATACACATGGAAAGAAAAACATGTTCCAACAAACTTCTTGTCTCTTCAAATGATGTGTATAGAAAACACAACATCATACAAAAATGCTATCGACAATCGATAACTAGGAGTTCTATGACTACCTATACACATGGAAAGAAAAACATGTTCCAACAAACTTCTTGTCTCTTCAAATGATGTGTATAGAAAACACAACATCATACACAAATGCTATAGACAATCGATAACTAGGAGTTCTATGACTACCTATACACATGGAAAGAAAAACATGATGTACAAACTGTACAGAGGGTATGTACTGTCTTACTGGGGGATTACATCTCCTTGCTGCCAGAACAGTAATGACAGGGCATCCCTCACTGCTCTGGGTTGGGCATCATTGGCATTCTGGTAAGCATCTCTAGGGTAACGCTCTACAGTACCCCTCAGCCACATGTCGTCAAAGTCCTCACCGTGGATCTCACAAATGTTGTGCAACACACAACAAGCAGAGATGACATCTGGGACTGCTGAAATGTCCAGATACATCCTATTCAGGAGACACCGCCATCTTCCCTTCAACCTCCCAAACGCACCCTCCACCACCATCCTGGCCCGGCTCAGACGGTAGTTGAAGTTGCGCTGTTGTCTTGTCACCCCGCCGGTCTCCGGGTATCCCTTCATCAGCCAGCTTAGCAGTGGATAGGCAGGGTCACCCAGCAGCATGATCGGGATGGCTGTGCCATTGATGTTGATGGTATCCTAGTAATGGAAATGTGACTTGTTCAATGTACAGGAACAGGACTGCCAAGTATTACCCGCACAGGTTAGTACAAGTAAAGAGTTGTGGAGGTACTAGTACACAAATTTACTGGCAATGGATTCCTCTAATCATATCAAATACCCAGAGGATACAAAATACATCTTATCAATTCACAACTGCACCTACACCAAGATAAGTGTAATATTCCAATTGGTATTATCACAAACACAACAACAAACATATGACAACAAAGACAACATATGAATAAGAAAAAACATATAACGGATTGTGTAAAAATGTAGAAACATTGTCAAAACATTGAATGGAACAATTCACGTTGATATAGCAATGAATAATATACATGTATAAGAACTGACATACACAAGGACTGAAGAAGTTAAGAAGTAGGAAAACATACATCTGGAAACAGGTTGCCAGCACTCGCCATGTTGAATATCGAAGAGTTCTTCAACACTCTAGCGTCATGGACACTGCCCGGCCAGCCCACGTTGATGTTCACAAATCTAGTGTGTAATAGTAGAAACATAGCATTGTCAAAACTTTGGAAAGAACAATTCAAGTTGATATTGCAATCAATGTAGTAATTTCATTTTTATTACAAGCCTGCAAACCATTGCTGCAAGGCTAAACAAATGCTAAAGAAATATAAAACAAATTCTATACCAAAGAAATATGAATTTAATACATTTGTTAAGTTTTCAGACAAATTATCAATTCTACTTATGAACTGGCAGTAGAAGACAGAGGTATGGCTAAATTATGCTTATTTTACAAACATTGTCACTATGAATGTATAGTACACAACAATGTCAAATATTATACTTCTATGTGTATACAGTTGTATAGATTTTTTCATATTCATGACTCATGCATATTATGATAATCAGTCACTCAAACAAGACCATAATAATGGGAATCAATTCTCACCTGTAGAAAGGGTCTACCACGGCTTGCATCAGCACTGAATGCCACCCCTTCCTATTGAAATAGTCAGTGTGGTACTCCTGGGGTGCGATTATCTGAACATGTGTGCCGTCAATTGCTCCCGCACATTGCGGGAACTGCCACCTGTCCTCAAATGCACGGACGACGTCGCGGAGCCGTTCACCTCTGGGGAGCTGGATATACTGGTCCTGCAACACTTGCACGATCGCACTACACACTTCGTGGACATATTTGCATACGGATGACTTGCCAATGCCAAACAAATGCGCTATTGTCCTGAATCCGCCGCCCGTCGCCAGGTACCACAGGGCGACGGCTACCCGCTTTTCGACAGATAAAGCATGCTTATGGCGTCTCCGTCGTGTCAGTCTCGGTCGCACTTTCTCACAGATGTACTCAAAGGTATGCCTACCCAGCCTAAAGTTCTGCTGAAAGATGGTGTCACTGAATCTTGGCACGTCTTCTTCCCAGAACTTCGGGGTTCGATGGTGTCTCCAGACAGGCCTCTCCACGGCCGAGGCTGCGTTCATCACGGCTACTACCGCTAGCCCAAGACACAGAACCCTTTCTCGGCGACGCATTCTCGCCCTTAGGGCCCGCCGGTTACGTTCTCTTCCACGCTCGCACACCATTTTCCAGAGATACAAGCACAACAGCAGCTGAGGCAAGGGTACCCCCGCCATTTTGAGCACGTGACTGTCTTTTGACCCCAACGTATGACCTTTGATGAGCGCCACTAGCGGTATACATTTGAAACGCAAGCCAATTAGCGGTAAACCGTTTCGACGGCGGGTGCAAGTTTTCAATCGCGGACGCAAAATGTAATGCGAATCATACCGGTTCATGGCCCAACCGAATCAATTCGCAATAGATTTTCAATCATGAACAGGGCCTCAGTCAGTCACTCATTCAGTCACTCGGTCACTCACTTACTATCAAAGGAAGTCCCTACCTTCCACTCTCATCTGGCACCTTGAAGCCACGTGGGCTAGGGCGATCGTCTCTATTTCCAGCCCAAAAGAATGCATCTAAGTTTGAAAAAAATACAACAAAACTACAAAAAATGCAAAAAAACGGACGACTCAATTATCAATTCAAGTCTCCGATGTACATACAATTTGAAAAATGCTTTTTGTGTGAAATATGTGTAACAATTTTGCAGGAATACAATTATAAAATGATACAATTATTCGTCACAGACGGCTAGTATGTCAAGTCTCTCTAAGTAGTTCCGTGTGTGTTTAATAAATGTTTTTGCAGACACTAGATGTTTGAACTGTAGGCCCCTCCAATGAACAGAAAATAATGATTTCATGGCCCTACTCATACAAAATTATGATTAACTTATAATATAAATTCATGTTAGGCCACACCGACTTAATTTTATGGATGGCATCCGCGTGCGCAATGATTTTCGCCTGTCGCCCCCCCCCCCTCCACCGAGGCTCTGGCCTGGCTCTAGGCCCGGGCACCCAGGCTATCGAATTCGAAGCTCCACGACTCAAGATCTCAGTACATAAGTACAGTACCGATTCATAAATGCCACAAAAAGCCAGCACGTACCGGCTTGTCGTATACGTCCCTAATTACTGTCGCGAATTCACAATACCAGCTTTGTATTCCTGTGGTTTAGTAGCATTTTTATTTTTGGCCGGAATTTTATTTTATTCGCCCGCGCGCACTAGTTTGGGGGTCTTCAGAGGATGTCATCCATAAAATTAAATTGGTGTGGCTTTATGCAAAAAGAACATTGTAACAGGTTGTAGTGGTTACCCGGTCCGAAACCATCATAGTGCAAGTTTTGAATATTGAAGGTCTTGGCGTCTGTGGTAGTGACATCCCCGGAGCGGACGCCATGTTGCCGGCGGGAAAATTCTCCAACGTTCCGCGGGCGGGGGTAAACAAACCCGTCTGGGACGGCCACGTGACCAATGTTCCCGGTCTAAACGATTAAGTAACAATAACAATAACAATGATATTAGAGTGGTGTCCGATCTACAAAGTTCTGAATATGCTTGCTTTAATAAGATGTGCTTATTAACATCATTGACTTAATTTGTTGCAAGTGGCAGCTTTCAAATTTTCTTAAACTTAATAAGATCTGACAAATGTGCGCAGGTTATATGAAAACATTATCATTACTAAGTTAGCGAAAGGCAAAAGTAGCCTGGGTACCATCCTATTTGTATGCCGGGGCTCCCATACTCGTTGGGGGGGGGGGTATGGGAGCCCCGGCATACAAATAGGATGGTACCCAGGCTAAGGCAAAAGCTGATACTTTGCAAAATTATCATACACTGAGCTGTGTGTGTTCAAGGTAGTTACACATTTGATAAACATTTCATGGGTCATGGTAATCTCCAAGCAGATCTTTCGGTGGCTGCAAGATCAAATTGGCAAGACAGTATCAAATTGGCAATACAGTATCCAATAGGCAATACAGTATCAAATTGGCAAGACAGTATCAAATTGGCAGGACAGTATTCATTTGTCAAAAGAAGACTGTTGAAAAAAAAAAGATACCAGCAAAAAAGAGCCAGATAAAAACGCCTAAAATACGCAAGAAATAAGCAGAAGCCCAAACCTCTGCTTGGAAAGAAGGATTATCGCTGAAATAGGGATAAGTCATGGGTAAAGAGTCAGGGAATGATTCAAAATGTGTTTGACAGAGTACGAACATTTTGACCCCAAACAGCGATCCACCTGACGCTGTCCAAAGTTGTTCCGTTAGGAAAAGTCAGGACAATCCTCCTGTTGTTATAAACACCCAGTGGAGTCGCTCTGCAAAGGAAGGAAGGTCGATCAGACAACCGTACACTGATCAGATACTGTATGAAATCCTATCTTTAACCATGCCTTCAAGCATGCGTAAAGATACTTGTGAGGGACGATACGGAACCTTTCTTCGTGCCTTAAGGTGTGCTTAAAAAGGATTTAGTGAGAGAGATCTCAGCCAGATATCTAGGACAGTGATAAAGATACTAATTATCAACTCTTATCTTAATGATAGAATTAGAATCCTTTCCTATCTAGAGGAAAACACGTCCTTACCTCCTCACCTCCTCTGTCTCAAGATAACCACATGTGCAGATGGTACACATTCTGTCATAGTCAGCTATTGCTATGCGGTATGTGGTTGATGATCTGTTGCCCCCACCTTCGAATTACACAGCTAAGCACCCAGGATACCTTGGAGGATGTTTAATATAATATTTCCACCAGACCCGTGCTTTATGCTTGAGTAGTGAACGCATGAGAACAAAAAGGGGAAGCTGAAGTGATCACCTCACCTGCCGTGTTCATCAGGTACCACCACTCCTGCCCCCACATCCGGCGAGTCTGTGGTGCCAGCACGAAACTGGACATCTGTGGACACATGGTTACAGAATTCAACACATGTCTACAAACATGGCACACGGGTACAGGTTTCATGGCACACGGGTACAGGTTTCCACACATGTCTACAAACATGGCACACGGTTACAGGTTTCCACACATGTCTACAAACATGGCGCATGGTTACAGGTTTCCACACGTCTACAAACATGGCGCATGGTTACAGGTTTCCACACATGTCTACAAACATGGCACACGGTTACAGGTTTCCACACGTCTACAAACATGGCACACGGTTACATGTTTCCACACATGTCTACAAACATGGCGCATGGTTACAGGTTTCCACACATGCCTACAAACATGGCACACGGTTACAGGTTTCCACACATGTCTACAAACATGGCACACGGTTACAGGTTTCCACACATGTCTACAAACATGGCGCATGGTTACAGGTTTCCACACATGTCTACAAACACGGCACATGGTTACAGGTTTCAACACACGTCTACAAACATGGCACATGGTTACAGGTTTCCACACATGTCTACAAACATGGCACATGGTTACAGGTTTCCACACATGTCTACAAACACGGCACATGGTTACAGGTTTTAACACACGTCTACAAACATGGCACATGGTTACAGGTTTCCACACATGTCTACAAACATGGCACATGGTTACAGGTTTCCACACATGTCTACAAACGTGTGTCCCATTCATACAGTCTATCAAGGTGAAGCGAACAATCACAAAGAATGACGCAGACATAAACAGTGCCGGTCTGTACCAGCCACTCTGATATACCCGCAAGGCATTTGTTCTATAATTATCTGTGACAATAACACAACAAATGCGACCTGCAACTGCAGTAGACAGATGTTTCCAGAATGTTGAACGATGAAGTGACAGACGTTTTTCGTCGTACGACATAAGAAGTATGATATTCAGTCTTGTGACCAGAAAGGTTGTTGCAGACCCTACTTTGTAGGCGGGCAGTTCTGTTAATAGTAGCCTTGCCTAAGACCGAGCGACAAAACAAGAATTCGTAGATCCCATACCTACTTGAAAATAGTTGGAGGCTTTCTAATTTTTTTGTCTCATTGATCATGGAAATGTAATGATTACACATCTAATTTATTTTCACCACTTATTCCTGACATTAAAAACTACCACCCAACCAAACAAATCAAGCCTACAGCATGTTCAGGTCAAAAAGATACAAAAACCGTTCTGCTGCAGTACCAAGGTCAGCGACCAGGAGGCCCAAATTTGGCCTTGACTTTTGTCTTTCTAAGACCTACACACATACCAAATACAACCGCAATCCATAAAGGCCTACCTTAGCTATGCTGACCACAAGCATGCGGAAACACACACAAACACAGACCGAAAACAGTATCTTCATTTTCACGTAGGTAAAATATCGTACGGCGAAAGTAACCGGGCTTTGTATTTGTAGCAATGGGTCAGTCATCTGTGTATAACTATACTGTAGACACCACGTACCTGGAACGGACCCGTCGAAGGAGAATCCCACGGTCTGTACTCTATCGGCGTCCACAGCGTACACCGTACCTGCCACCCCGCCTGGCCCGGCAGGGGTCGGGAAGCTGCCGATCAGCCGGCCGTAGTACTGCGTTTGAGCCCTACTCTCTCCTGTAGAATCATATCAAAGACTTCTGTAGACCGCACGTGTACACATGGGTTTAAAATCGACCTTTCCTTCCTCGATTTAGTTACAAAATGTCGCCGTAGACAATAAGAATCAGTGCAATGAGCACAAATCTGTCATTCTGATTTCACTGAAGTTCAAAGTACAGTCAGCAGTCTTACCAGTCAGCACAGCTACAGCAATCAAAAAGGCAGAAGTCCGCCACATCGCAGAACCTGGTCTCACGCTGACGACAGTCATTTAATTGTAGGAAAGATTGCAAACAGTACTTGTCGCTTCTGAAAAAAAGTCAATCAGGAAATGACCTCGACAACAGAGGGTGTGTTCTTGTCGTACTAATGACAGTGCCCGAACAGGAAAGACAAGGTTGTGTGCACTTTGACACAACATTTGTTGGGAAGCGGCCATGTTCCTTCCGAACGTTGGATCTTAGTAAACGCTAGTGTCATTACAGGAGTAAATAAAAGCAATTCCTGCGCAGTTCTGGAACGCCAGTAGTACTTAGGAAATTTTGGGGATCTGTTCCTTCGCTTCCTTTTCTTTTAATTTCCGTTCTTTATTCCTCCTATAGGAAATACTGTAATTCAAAATTCATAACTAAAGATAAATAAATGAATAGATAGATAGATAACTCATGATATATATA